AAGTATACTGTCTGTAGCAGGAACTCCAAAGTCGGATGAAGCTTTGGAAATGGCCTCTGGGTGCCCACGTACAAGTACACTTGTTGTTTCCGAGTTCATAGGTTGCTCACCATCCCTAAGTGGGGCGATTAGGTCAATCCTTGGGATATTGATGCTGTAGCTGATGCACTGCATCTAGCCATCAGTATGCCTGAAGCAGGAAGCAGTTGCGGCATGAGAAGCACATCAATATTTAAGTCTCATGATGTTGCTTATTGGGCTCAAAGCTTCATGCAGTTTGGAGCAGCATGCAAAGATCACTATAGTAAACGCTGTTGGGCATGGGCTTCGGTTTGGATTGTAGAATATTGTTCCTTTCTCCATATTTTAGGAAGCTATCCCGTGAACATATTCGTTCTGTATATAAAAGAACATCTAGAAGGGCAATATTCTTGGACTATGATGGCACTGTGGTGCACCGCTCTTCCATTGCAAACCCCCCCTCTGCTAAATTCATTTACCATCTGAACTGTATCTGCAATGACTCTAAAAACACTGTGTTCATTGTTAGCGGTAGGGGGCAAGACTCTCTGTGTAAATGTTTTCGGAATGCCAAAATCTCGGTATCTCAGCGGAGCACGGATACTTCATGAGGTATATTTTTGTATTCATATCTACTAGCTTCAAGATTTAGTTTCGAAAGCCATATTTTTTCTTTGTAATAAGACAGCTGCCTGGTTCAAAGACAAATATTGCTCTTTTTTAGATACTGCTTTGTTTTTAGTCAAATGAAAGTAAAATTTTGCTATATGTACGAAGTGCTATCTGTTTATGATTCTAATTTATTTCCAACAAGTTTGATTATTCTCATGTCGTATGGGTTTACTTTGTTTTTTCCTACAGGTGGACTAGAGATTCCAAATGGCAATCAGTCACCGAGCTGCAGATTTTGCGTGGAAAAATATTGCAGAACCTGTGATGCAATTATATACAGAGACACTGATGGTTCCTATATAGAAACGAAGAAAACTGCCTTGGTGTGGCACCATCAAGATTGCCTCTGATTTTGGATCGTGCCAGGCCAAGGAGCTATTGGATCATCTTGAAAGTGTCCTGCAAATGAGCCAGTTGTTGTTATGAGGGGTCATGATATAGTTAAGTGAAGCCACGTCTATTCCGTCCATTATCTTCTTTCTCTCTCTCTTTTTTTTTTCCTTTAATATTTGTTACATGTAGGGTTTAATATTGACCTGTTAATTTACAGGGAGTCACTAAAGGATTCGCTGCAGAGAAAGTACTTAGTTCAATGATCAGTAATGGGAAAGTTCCTGATTTGGTGCGTTGCATTGGGGTGATAGATCCGATGAGGACATGTTTGAAAGCATATTGAGCATTGTTTATCACTTGATGCACCTCCAGAGATTTTGATTGTACAGTTGGTCAAAAGCCGAGCAAAGCTAGGTACTACCTGGATGATATCACAGATGTTCATGCAATTATTGAAAGTTTGGGAGATGAATCCGTGTTTAATTGTGGAATAATAAATCCAAGTTTCTTCGCTCAATGCTCCTTGATTTTCCTGAGTAATGCTATCCGTGCTCACTTAATAAGTAGGATTAGAAGAACAAAGGATCTGCCATTGGTGGGTGACATATGATGCTGACTTTAACGATTCTTTCCTGTGTGAACAGGGGCTTCTCTCGAAGTTGGTTGTCGAGGCGATTTGTGATGCAGCTCGAGGTTGTTTCTTTCTTTCTTTCTTTTCTTCTCTTCGGAATGGAAAGATAAATGGTAGGGATAAATGGCGAATTAGGTGGCTTCAAGACAAATGTAGGTTGGTGAACAGGGAATAACATTAATCTAGTTTACAGAGAGATTCGATGGTGATGACAGGTTTGTATACATGAAAAAGCCTTGGGAAGATGACTTTGTGCCATACGAACTGTTATTTTTATCTCAATTAATGTTTGGTTTGCTTTCATTTTGGGCATTGTAATTACCATAATGAAGTTCTATATAATTTACAGTAATATTTTCGTATAAATTTTACATATAGAAAACTTAAGGCTTGATTATGTTAGAATATCGAACTTCACCAACTGTTTTTCTATTGAGGTATCGAATTTTTTATCAATTAAATCTATTAAGTATTGAATTTTAAGTTTTTCTTACAAAAGAACCAAATTTTCATATTTTTCTTAGGAGATTAACATTGATGACATGACAGTTTTTTTTTTTTTTTTTTTGTGAAAAATGTTTGACAAGGATAATTTGGTGTGTTTATTGGATATTTAACGTGGTGGTTAAGGTTGACTCGATATTTATAATTTAAAAAATCTCAAATCAATCTTTTTTTTTTTTTTATTATGTCAATAAAAATAACAAAACTCACCTAGAATAAATAAAATCTTTGAGCAAACAATTATCAATATTCTCCTCCTAGTTTTCTCTTTGCAATTTTCTAGGTATTTCTTCTTTTTCTTTTTGTTTCTTGAGAAAATCTTACATTACTGTTATTTCTTCTTCGTTTTTGTTTATTTCTATTGTTTTGATGATTCCGGTAGTTTTTTGATGTTGGGGTGAATTGTTGTGTTCGTTTCTGAGCGTTTTCCTTTTCTTTTATTTTCCTATATTTTCTCGGCAACTAAATAGTTTGGTACCTTAAATAGAAATAATTGATAATTTGTTACCTTCAAAAAGAAAAAAATAGTTTGATACATTCAATAGGAAAAAAGTGATTGTTCAATATTTTCTTATGTAATTAAGCCAAAATTTAGTAAGTGTGGACAAATAATATTGTGATTAAAGTACTAACATTACTTTATGAGAAGTGCTAGTCTTACAAATGCAAATACGAATGGGGCATACAAAGACAATTGCTACCCCTGATCTTTATGATCTCTCTCTCTCTCTCTCTCTTTTCCCTTCTTTCTTTGTTTTTTTATTCTCACTCATGTCATTTTGCAGCCCTCTTTGTATAGGTCTTTGTAAGGATAGCATTTTTCTTATTTTATAGACAAAATAATCTGAAAAGAATAAACTTGAACTGGATAATGTTTCATCGGTGTGTTTGTTTTGCTATTTTGGGTAGAATTTCAAATCCTACCCAAAATACATATTTATTTCCCTATTATGAAAATTCAATTATATTCTATTCAACTATTTTAAACCCCATAGGTTTGTTAATTTAACTAAACACCCTCAACAAAAAAGTATAGAAATTGACAAAAATACCCCCATCCACCCATAATTGCCAGATTCCCACCACCACTACGAAAAAGTGGCCGGAATATGGCGTAATGGCACACTACCTGTTGGATCTAGCTGGTAGTGTGTCGATCTAGCCTTTTTCGGCCAGACCCACCATGGATCTGGCTGGAAAAGGCCAAATCCATGGCCAAAGATCTGGCCATTGACGGCCAGATCTTTGGCCGTAGCTAGTCGTCAATGACGGCTATATCTTTGGCTGTCGTTGATGACCAAATGTAGTTAGATCTGGTTGGAAAAGGCCATATCAGTGCATGACCGACCAGATCCAGCCAGTCGTGTACCATTACGATGACTTTCGGCCACCCTCCGATGGTGGTGACTGGCTACCGGCATTTAATGGGTGGATGGAGATGTTTTGGTTAATTTCCAATGTTTTATTATAGGTGTGTTTAGCTAAATTAACAAACCTAGAGGGTGTTTTTATTAATTTTTAAATCTTATCTCGTAATAATCACCCAAAATAATAAAACAAAGACACTAGATACATGGCACAACCTATAATAACCCCAACAGTCAACAACCATTTGACCGTTGTTTGGGCTTATCTATATGGTCTCCTTTCATTGTTGTTGATCTGCACCTGTTGCTCTTATTTTTGAAATTATCACTGACCTCCTCAGAAGGCTGAAGTATCCTTCACTTAACATGGTTAAGTAAAATCTTCCCAGAGATCAAGAGGGATAATTTTTTCTACTCTATAAATGTTAAGTTCTAGGAAAGAGTAAAGGACTTTTTCTTGCCCAAGGTTTGCCTCAATGAACTTTTCCACTCAAAGTTAATATTCCGTTACTACCAAAAACTAATTCTGGAGGCAAAAATTCTCTCCGTTACCACCATTTGAATTTTTATTATCCTCTCTAGAAAACCCTTCTCACTCTAGCATTTGATTTTTCACCGTTTGCTGCCCACCGCAAAGTTAGAGTTTCTTGTTCTTAATTAATTTCCGACTGATTCCGATGACGAATATTTAATCGGTCACTACCATTTGATCCACTGACTTTTACTCTATAAAAACTCTCTTATCTTGACTTTTGGTAACTCGCTGAACGCCGACTGAGAAAGTGAAGATATTTTTGGTATTGACGCAATATAAACGATGGGTGAGAAAGTAGTATTTTGAAACTTTTTGGGTGGGAAAGGGTCATTAAGGCAAACCTGGGGTGGGAAAAAGTCGTTTACTCTCTAGGTAATTTTGCAAACTATTAAATTTCTTTATTTGAATTTTGAAGGTTTATTTTGATATTGTCAAAAGTATTTTTAATATTATCAAAGAATTTTTGATATTTGGTATGCATATTTATTAGTTTTGAAAAATTTCACTAACTTGTTTCTTTAATTGGGATATTATTATTCACGGTACAGAAGTTTACTGAATGGTTATAAAAGGACATGAGTTTCAGAATTATCAATCAAAAGACACTTAATGGTGTTTCATCATTATATTTAAATGTGTAATTACAAAATGATACAAATGCCCTTAAATAATAATAATAAAAAAAACAAATTATTTGAATAAAAAATTAAATATAAAAAACTAAAAGACTTTTAAACCCAAAAAATTTAATAGAATTAAAATAATTTTTATTCAAATAATTTCTGAAACTTGCGTCCTCTATTGAAAATTCAGTAAACTTTTGTACTTCAGTGATAGTATCCTTTTTATTTTATTTATTTATTTAGTTTAATTTTTTTTTTTTTTTTTTTAATATTTATACTGTAAATGTCTGTAATTAAAGCATCATCTTAAAGCAAAAGGAAAGGGAAAGTCATTTGTGATCGCTGGGTTTTTACACTGATTGAGTAGAGAGAAAGAAACGACGAGACTTCGACGACAACCTAAAAATGTCTCTTCTTCACTTCACTTTCTTCACCGCCATCTTTGTCTTTGCGTTCTCCTTTCCTTTTCAGGTACATCGTCTCTTAAACCCTAATGTATTCTTTTTCTCAGTTACTCCAACTATAGAAGAAAGAACTAATCGATTTGTATTCTTTATTAAACAGCCTGGTGCAGCAAATGAACCTCATGATCAGAGGCTTAAATACTTATCGTCGCGATTCGAAGCCGCTCTCGAAACGCTACAGAAGCAAATCGGGCAAGTTCGAAACTTTTTCTTCAGTTTCTTTTCCCTAACCTTATTTGTTACTGCGGAAAAATACTAGAAATATTTGATAGTCTACGATGATACTGTGTTATATGCCTACCTGAGAGTTAATGTACAAAATATTAGCGTTTGTTTTCAGTTACAGGGCAACAAGTATACATTTAACATCTTTTACTATCTTTTGTTTTCTCTTCAAACATTATCTTAAGATTTCTTATATTGTAGTAAGATGTCGAACAACTGGAAGCATGTCATTTTTAATCTATCAGAGTCTCATTGGTTTTCATTCCTCCATATTCAGCTACAATTTCAAGAGCATTGATATGCTTCGTCGTGCAATGACCCACCCTTCATTCTCCGAAGAGAATAATCGGGCATTAAGCATTTTGGGCTCCTATGTCATTGAAACATCAGTGTCCCTTCATTTCCTTCGTAAAGACATTGATATTTCACCAAAAGATCTGAACCGCCGTATTTCAGATATTTCCAATGTGGAAACTTCATGTGCAGATGATGGGTTGCGATTGGGGTTACATAAAGTGATTAGAGTTTCTTCCAGGACTAATTCTTCGATTCCTGGAGTTGTTTGTGGTGCTTACCGAGCAATCTTTGGTGCTATTGCTATTGATACTAAGAAATCTGATGATGCTGGAGATGTTTTCTGGAAGGTTCATGGTGGCGAGGTTGGAAAAGCTTTTGCTTTCTAAGTTTATATTTCTGTCATCTGCTGTTTGAAGAAGTTATGCTGTACAATATGGTGGCTTTTGTTTAGTGGCAAGTACTGGTAATGCCTAGCTATATTTTCCTAAAATAATATGACCGATGATGCTGTAAAGTTTGGTTAATTATACTGGCTAGATGCAGTTTGCTAATATGTTTGGTGAAAAATGGGCCTATTAAAACTTAAAAGTGCACTTTTCCGATGTTGCTTGATCTCTTTTATTATGCTTTGTTCTTTAGCTTTTGCTAAAAAGAAAAGTGAGTTTAGAGTTTTTGAGCTTTTTCACCTAAATCAGAAATATGCAAAAAGACCAGATGAAGCACCGTGTCAAGGAGCTAAGGCCAATCTTTGACTAAATTAATCTTTTTCAAAGAAGTTGAGATTGTGTGACCGTGGCCGAATATGGGTGAAGAAGTTGGAGATAATGCCATGTGAACTGATGAAGTCATTTTGTAAATTGCTGCAACCCTGTTGAAAGCTGAGCCTTGTTTTTATGCTTTGTGACCAAATATTTGAAGATGACACCCACAACCCAACTCCAGTTTGATTTTAGATCCTCCTCTACCAAATTGTTTGTTAAAAACCCCATACTTGACAGAAAATCTGAATTATATTAGGCTGTAGTAGGTGCACAAGCACTTGGCGAGGGTGACAAAGCCTTGAAACTAATGTATTGAGTTATACTAAGAATCAAATCAATTATATTTCTAGTTTTTTAATATACATAATGTTGACCCAAATTGACCTGCTTACCTAAACCATTTCAACATTATGTCATCAACATAACTGTTACTCTACCCACACATTGTTACAGTCAATACGGTCAATGATGGTTGAATTAATTAAATTTACTCAATGACGTCAATTGAACTTCCATTTTAGCCTTAATTATTTGATTGAACTGTAATTAAAAGATAAATCCATTGGTCTAAATTTAATGATTAGTAGGTGTCACAGCTGTCATATCCTCCTAATCAACCTTATCGAAACATCTGGACCCTTGATCACAACTACGCCACTAGGCCCCTCCCAAACCTTCATACTCGTCACAGCTGACTCGGTCTCGCCTCACAGCTAAAGCCTAACGGCTCGAACTTCTCATTCCACTTACTATAATACCCCTACCAATAATCTATAATACAAGAAGCCCGCATCTCATAGAAAAAGAGTCGTGCCCGTTTCTTGTATATGGACACGGCTGAAGAAGAATCAGCGGCCGTTATGGGAGAAACATCCAACTCTCTCCTCCGCAACACGCGCTGCTGTTTTTCTTTCCCGTGTTTCAACTCTCGTCATTCCTCCAGCGCCGGATTATCCTGGTGGGAGCGAATCCAATTACAGAACCACTGGTGGACCCCGGCGGTTACTGCCTTTCAAAGAGTGCGAGAGTGGTCAGAGATCGTGGCCGGGCCTAGGTGGAAGACTTTCATCCGGAGATTCAACAGAAACAGAAGTAATAACAGCAGTTCACATCATGCTCCTGGAAAATTCCAGTATGACCCTTTGAGTTATTCACTCAACTTCGAAGAGCACTGTAATTTCGACCACGACGATGATTTCAGCGGCTTCCGGGATTTCTCGTCGCGGTACGCTTCGAGTAAATCGCCAGCGGCGGCGGCGGCCACGACTGTAGTGGATGTTAGAGGGAAGGATGTGGCGGCGTTGGCGTGAAAAGCTGCGTCAGTTGAAGACATGAGCTGTACCGTTGAGTTGGTGTCGTTTTGTTTGTTAGTTAAATAGTCGTATTTTTGGCATTTAATTAAATATTATTAGTGGTGTAAAGATACAGGATGTCATGGCGTGTAGATGTCTATAAAGTTTGGTGTTGATATTTTTCGGTTGTTTCTTGTGGGAATAAAGGTATCTGGATAACATATCTGGATTTATTATTCTTATTTTATCATTTTTAGTGGTAAATGTTTATGAAATTATTATATAACATAAAGATATTATAGGATAATATAAAAGTGCTAGTGGAAACATTTTAATTTAGTTGGACCAATCTCTTGTATGTTAAGAGTTTTCCTCACTTTACATTTTTTATTCTTTTATAATGGAAGTGTTCCACTTAGCTTCTGTCCGCTTATTTCTATTAATATTTGAGATTTATTAAACATCGAATTAAGTAAATCACAATACTTTTAATAATTGGGGTATTCAAGTCAATTTTAATCCTTACAGTCCATTAAGCACCCAATTAACTCAAAAGACCAAATACGTGGCCTCAAGATTTAAAAAAAAAAAAAAAAAAAACTCAAGGAAAAGCCTCCAATCCCTTGTGGTTTCCTCACTTTACATTGAAGAGCTGCTAATCAACAGTTATGTTAGTGATGAAAGAAATGCAATTTATAGCTACGGTACAATGGTCGTTTTGGATAGACAGATTGGCGGTTCATTCACCAACTTTTCTGCTATTTACAGACTTAATGTTCAGTAAAATATCGCCTACAATCCATGGGAAACTCAAGAAATTTATCCTTTCTCGGCAATAAGTTGGGTGGTACGTTACATGATACCATGCTGAGGCCAACTTTTGATGTTCATTTACCTGGCAGCTACTCTCAAACCATTCTTTAGCCTCCTTCTGTACGTTCTTCACGGACAGCAAGATCCGATCTTTCATGTCTCTGTATCTGTTATTGCAGTATTGCAAATACCCTGGTTTGTTTCGCATATTACCTGTCAGTAGCTCATCCTCGGTCTTTGTCCCGTAAAAGTTCATCAGCATGCTCATGTTCTCCTCGTACATGTCTCTGTGAATTTCTGCAGTTCCAAGGAAGGCTTCAAAACCATCAACTTGGAGTTCATTGTCATAGCTTGCTACAGCAATCTTCTCTGACCAAATGGGTTCGTTGGCTCTTATTTGATTCACTGAGTTAAGGGTGGCACGGTAGAGTTTTCCAAGTACCCCAGAAGAAATGTACATGGTTTTGTCTACCCTTTCCATAAAATCTGGGAACTCCCTTGGTCTTAGAGCCAGAGGCATCTCTGCCGGTGCTCCAGTCTTCGCAAAGTCAACAGCCATTGAGTGAAGGGCTGCCAGCTGTAGACATTTTGCACTCCGGGCCTTCATTGGATCACGATCAGCCTGAACTAAATGAGCAGTAGAGATGGCACCCAGAGTATCATTGATCATGTAATCAACAAAAAATTTTTGAATTTCCTGCACATTTCATACATTTTTATAAGTTAAAACTTATGAAAGTGAAAATTAGTTAAATGACATTAAAATCTTTAACCAAGTATAAAAACTACCTCTAAAGTCACATCATGATCCGTTACTCGCGATCTCCCTCCAGTGTAATCCATAGGAGGATCAGTTTCACATGGGATGAGATCTTTATCCCAGCTTATGAAAAAGTTGTCTCCATCGAGATCTCCACCAGAGCATTCATTTGGATGAGGCCTGTGGACACAAAGTCTTAGCCACAGACTTTTATCTCTTACTACATAATTATATTAACAACATAAGAGTCAAGAAAAGGAAACATTATAAGATGAGAAACCAATATCTTTAGTGTAGGTAGGTCATTAAACTAAAAGGAAAAGAAAGATTATTTACTTTGGAAAGAGAAATGGAGCTCATAAGTAAGCTGATGACCAGAGTATAAAAACAGTGTTTGGCAACAAATCCCAAGTTGTATCAGAATATCTGGGACCTCGCTTGGCATCAAATGCAAACTTATTGGAGTGTAACAACAACAATAATAATAGAAAAAGCAAGATGAATAAGGCAAGCCCTTTCCCTGGTAGTCCAGGTAAATCGATGACAACAGGTAACACATTCATTCAGAGACAAACACCATTTGAAAAATGTCACAAGTGCATATTATATGAAGTTCATGGACCTGAACTTCTTAATCTGGCGATTATCAACTATCCAATTGAAAACTCCATGACTGCTTAAATAACATGGAAATAAGAAGTGCACATATTATTAAAAAGTAAACATACCACACTAACTAAGAACATAACTATAACACAGAAGGTATAATAGGAAATGCAACTTTTGAGAGTTAAACTATACCTTTCTCCTTTTTGAGGGAAGAGAATGCAATCCACCAGACCATTCTCCTCTAAATCCACTTCATAGACAGCCTCAAGGACTCTGATATCTCCTGGGTGAAGACAAGGATTTTTGGTGACAAGCACCTTCCCTAAAACTATGGATGTTTTCTCATCCACCTTACGGAAGAAACTTTGATCCTGGCATTCTAGCTCTGCTTTTGTCATTGTGACACGGATATAAACTTGGCCATAATTTAATAAACCAGTCTCATCCAAGCAACCAATCAAGAGCCGGCCCTTCGGAACATAGATTCTGCATTTGCTTTTTAACTCAGACAACTGATTCTCATGATGTGCTTGAAGCATCATTGAGAGGTATGGTTCAATATTGGGTTCATAACCTTGAAGCAACATCTTTACCAGAATACTTTTGGAATTAGCCCCACTCAACTTCTGTAAGACATCCAAAGCTGCCTCTCTATTTGTCAACATTTTGCCTAGCAGGTGCAATTGTTCCTGCTGCATTGCCTCAAATACTTCATCCTTAATTCCCAATGTAGACAAGAGGATAATAATCTCTCGATTCAGAAAGCAAGGCATAGAGTCACTCCATTTAGTGACATTAAGCATCCTGTTTTTTGATTCAAACTTAAGCATACTACTACGCAAAGACAGCTTCCGGTAGGACTTACGGTCAACAGCAATCACACCTTTGTAGCCACCATATCGAATTTGAAAGGCTGAAGGAGTGTCGCTCAGACCACATTTTTGGGCAACTGACCTAGAAAAAGATTGAGAAATTTTCCCAATACCATCTGAGAAGCAGTAGCTAACACCGTCAGAAGCAATTTCAATATCAGGAATGATTTCTACATCTTGTGCAGGAACACGGTGAGTTTGCATAGAAGAACTGAACAATTGACCCATCCTTGCTGCACATTTTGACACACAGCGGATCTTATTGAAGCATCCCATCCATTCTCTAATATCTTCCGCTTTCACCTTGTCATTAGAAGCAAACAACCAAACAGAATTTGATCGTAGTTGACTAGCTGAGAAAGCCAAAAACTCGTATCTTTTATCTCCAATCAAAATTCCGTCTCGAAGAATAGACAGTATTCTATAGTATACTTTAGTTCTGTAAGCTTTAGCAAATATACCTTGTTCAATGCTTGTCGAAAGAGCATTCACAGGAAGCTTACTCCAATCTTCTTCAACGAAAGTAACTCTCGTAAAATCTGAGGCATATTCTGCAAAGTTCTTTACAACATAATTAGAAGTTTCAAGCTCAGGACCCAAACAATAAACTTTCGATGGAGTAACTAAGGCCCTATAACAGCTCATTATGTTATGATCTATCAACCTTTTGTCAGACGATAAGGGAATGCTCTTACAATTTCTCCCCAAGACATGTAATTGAATTTTTATGAATGACACAGGATCATAGCAAGTTGACTTCAACTTTTGCAACTTCTGTAGAATCATTAATGCATTCTCCACGGCCAAACCACTAAGAATCTCAATCAATTCACCATCTACCGCAGCAAGACTAATTTTTTGAGTATGAACAAGTGAATTGAGCTGGAAAAGTACTTCATATGCTAAGTTAGAAACTGGTCCACATTTTACAAGTGGAACTGTTTCAGAAGTAGAACAGAACTCTTCTCCATCTTCCAGAATTAGTTGTTTCTTGTCTTCTTTAAGGTACGGGAAACTTGAGAAAATATCTGATGCCAATAATCCATCTTCAATTTCCCAGCAAAATGAAGTTGACTGTCCAATTGACTTCACAACAGAGAAGTCTGTTGTCCGAACCCAAAGAAAGTCAAAATCTTCCTTGCAGATATGATATTGATCATTACGGAATTTTGTTGCTATGTTAGGTCCAGAAATTTTTTGATAGATCTTTGGTCCATACTTTAGCTGGAAACAGTATGGATTAACACATTAAAAAGCTTTCTAATGCCATACACCAATTAGGATGAACAGTAATATCAGGAAAAAAAAAAAAAAACAATAATAATAAACTTTCCAAAACTGACCAACCATTAATCCTGACAATGGATGACAGAGCCAAGAGTTTGGTTCAGTGGCAGAAATTTAAAACAAAAAATAGATAAAATTTCTTTAAAAAATGATAAATATTATAACTCTTATATAGATTCATATTATTTACATTTGATCCATTTACAATGGTAATTCCTTTTTTTATTTTTATATATCATTCAAACTTTTGTATGTATAAACAATATCAAAAACAAAACAATCAAGTAGCTTGCCTTATGAAAGAAAACATGAAGTAAGATATTTGAAACAATTTAGTGCTCTAGGATCCTAATTATCACTACGACAATAGATAAAAGTTGACCATATTAAAGATACAAGCAAAACATGACCCATAAATAGAGCTATCAACTTGATATTAAATTAGAGTAATAATGATAAATGACGTATTAAATAATAATTGTTTCAAAATTTTCTGTCAGTTAAGCAATAAGGAGTCTTTGACAGGAGCTAGAAGTGATGGAGGGGCAAGATGAGGTTAAATCCAAGAATAAGCGATTTCCTATAATTTTTGTTGGGACAAATTAGTTAACAAACTATACAGGCTAAGTTTGGTACTTGAATTTTTTTTTTTTTTTCTTTCTAAAAGAAAGAGATTGGGTTCGGGGGGGCATGTGCCCTCCACTGGACCCTTAAAAGTTGTCACTGCCACAAACGCCAACAGAAATGGTATGGTATGAAACAACAATTTTCTTTTTGTTGTTTCCAAACAAATTACTATTACTCATATTATTCATATTCCACAACCTAAAGTATTGGCTTTAATATCATAAGCATAATACCCCGCCGGCTGTTTACAAGAAAATCAAGCTATGGA